CTCTTTGAACACAGCAAACTTGTTCCCACTGCTTGGGATGCCCTTCCCTCAGATCTTCCCAGGCCTGTTAAGCATCACCTCCCCAGAGAGTGGCTCCGTCTCACCATCTGAGCCAAAACTATGTTGGATCACCTTGTTTTCTTTTCTTTTTTTTGCATCTATCAGTAGCTGAGGTTACGGTATATACTTAGATGTTCACTTGCATATTACTTGTCCGTCCTGTGTGGAATGTAAGTTTTGTGAGAGCAGGAACTATATCTGTTTTCTTCACCCCTTAGCTCCAACACCTGGAACAGGGCCTGATGGATAGCATGTGCTCAGTAAACATTTGTTGAACAAACCACTGAGAAATAGAGATAACACCACACTTTGCACTTACCTCTGGACTTACTTCATTTATTATATAACATTGCAATTACTCCCTCACAAGCCCCTTTCTTGATTCAAGGCCAAGACCACATCCTTATTTTTAATTTTTAAAATATATTTTTATTGATTTCAGAAAGAAAGGGAGAGGGAGAGAGAAACATCAATGATGAGAGAGAATCATTGATTGGCTGCCTTCTACATGGCCCATACTGGGATCGAGCCGGCGACCCAGGCACATGCCCTGACCAGGAATCAAACCGTGACCTCCTGGTTCATAAGTCGACACTCAACCACTGACCCACGCCAGCCTGGCCACATCCTGGTTTTTATTTTGTCTCACTTATTAGCATACTAACCAGCAAATAGTTGATAAATCAGCGTTTTGACAAATAAATATAGGAAAGAAGGCATGAATGCACATGTTTAGGAAGCATAGGTGTGTTTCAGGATGTCAGAGGAGGGAAAGGAAGATGATTATTGTATAAACACGATAAAATGCTAAATAAAACCATCTCAATCTGGCCAGAAAACACGAGATCCTTGGCTCGGAGGTGGGCCGGTGGGTGGGCTGAGGTCAGGGAGCTGGCAGAGGCTCAGCCTGGCAGAGGAAGATGCAGGAGCTGAGAGACTTTGAGAAGGAGCTGCCAGGTGTCTGTCTGCAGAATAGATAGGATCTCCAGTTGGCTGGGCACTTTCCCCCCTCTAATTAATTTCAGAGCAGGAGGGAATGAGAGAGAGAGAGAGAGAGAGAGAAACATCAGTGATGAGAGAGAATCATCGATCAGCTGCCCCCTGCACACTGGGAACCAGCCCTCAACCTGGACATGTGCCTGTGACCGGAATCGAACCCAGGACCTTTCGGTCTGCAGGCCACTGAGCCAAACAGACTAGGGCGCTTGGGCACCTCTTACAAGTACTTCCTCCCAACCCCTCTGAAAGGCTCCTCCATCCCCCTGATTCTCTGTCTGGAAAGGAAGAGGCCCTGCCTTTCTCCAGCTCATTCATAAAATACATCTTGTCAGTGTCACGCTGCTGGGGCGAGGGAAGCACCAAACATCCCCTTTTCTAGGCTGCACTCTCGTGTTGCCCCTCAGGGAATCTGCTTCTGAACCGAAAAGGCAGCCTTGGTCAGAGGCAAAAGGAGATTGGGGGGGGGGGGATGTTGACCTTTTTATATCTTTAATATATAAGTTATCTCTGATAATCATCAAATAATTGTTTAACTCCGCCTTTTACATGTACACAAACATGCAAGCACACCCATACACAAAAACACACAAACACAATGTATGCAAATAGAAACATCAATGTACACAGACACAGATAAACACGCACAGTCAAGTGCACACACACTCACACATCAAGCCCGTGAGTAGGGAACACAATGGCTAGTCGGAGGGCATTTGCAAAGCCCATTTCCCAGGGAAGACTGCCATAGCCCACTTCTGGGAAAGACACCGAAGCATTTCAACAAGTTTTGTTTACTGGCAGCTGGGGAGAAGAGGCGAGGGGAAGGAAGCCGAGGGGGTTTCACAAGCAGCGGCCCCGGGAAGGCTGTCTGGCCTGTCGCCGCCGCGGCAACCACAGCGGCCCAGCCACAGGCTCCCCGGCAACTGCTTGCGGGGTGGGCAACTGGGGGGAAAAGAGCAAGGCCTCAGCCCATATGTACAGAGCAGTCGTCAGACCAGGCCAGAGCAAGAAAAACAGAGGGCTCCGACGGCCAGAATAGTAGCAATGGGCGGATGGGGGAGTTCTGGGGAAGGAAGCTGGAAAATGAAATATCAGACAAACGTTTGTGTTGGAGCCAGTGGGAGAGGTCCACACAGAATGAGTGTCCTCCACGGGCCCGCTGCCAGGAGGCCACGTTCCAGGGGAGGCGAGGAGTGTGCAGGGGTCGCTGGGAATGCTCAGGGTTGTCACTCCAGGTGCGGTGGAGAGCCGCGGTCGGACATGGGAGCACAGTAGTGGAGACATGACCTGGCTGAGGGTCTCCCGCAGGGTCCCTGCGGCTGCGGGTGGAGGACTGGCGTAGAGAGAGCAGAGTGGCATGGGGAGACCAGCTAGCACGCTGCTGCCGCAGTGGCCTCAGTGGAAGATGGTGGTGGCCTGGGCGTGGGTGGTGGCAGCAGAGGCAGTGGCAGGTGGTGGATCTGGATCTGCAGTGAAGATGAAGCTGGAAGGTCTGTTGGGGACCAGCCACATTCCAGGGAGGTGATGAGTGTGCAGGGATCGTTGGGGATCGTGTTAGAGGTGCCGTTTCAGCAAGGAAACAGTTGGATCAGGTGCACAGTTCAGGGGAGCAGTCCAGGCTGCAGATGCCACCTGGGGCTTCTCTCAGTGGGCATGGGCAAGAGCTGGAAGTGACGAAGACAGAGGCGAGGAGGGGACCAGGGACTAAACCCGGAGCACTACCGTGTTTGGAGGTCAGGGAGATGAGGAGCCTGCGAAGGGGAGGGAGCACGAAGGCAGCCCTGGATCCGCGGGCAACAGCCATGGAGAGATCCTGCAGAGAAGGCCGAGAACTGACCCTGGGGTTGGGCAGGTGGAGGTCAACTTACAGGAGCAGTGTGAGTGGGGGGAAGGGGTCAGACAGAACGGGAGGCCAGGAAGTGGAGGCAGATGCCAACAACTCTGGAGAAGTGTTGGTGTGAAGGGGGCCCCGCCTTGCTTCTGAGTCTTCCGATGTTCTGCATCAGGCAGCTCGTAGTTCTGCTCTCCCTCTGCCACGTCTCTACACTGGCCTCCCGACTCCCAATCTCCCACCACCTCCCGGGCTGGGACCAGCAAGTTACAATCAGTCGAGGCACAGCTTGTGAAACTAGGGCGGAACCCATACTGTTAGTCCTCAGTCCTCAGCTTGATGCTCCCTAAATCCCAAATCAGCCATCCCCTGAAGGATCTGGCCTCCCCACAAAAAGCACCAAGCAAAAGCTTACCGCTGACTGCCATCTGGTGGTCATTTGGGAACTGGCCTGACTCCCAACTCCAACAGGCGAAGAGAGGAATTGAGTGAAGTGTTAGAGCAGCACCCAGCGCTGACTCGGTGAAAGTGGGCCACTATCATTTGGCTCATGGTTCGGGGCGCGTGACGCCACTCCCAATATATTTTGGAGGAAAAGGAAATATCCTGAAGGGAGGTAGCCCCTTTTAAATCTTGATAAAAGTAAGAGTGCTTCAGGGAACCAAATAGGACTTTCGTGGATGAAGTCAGAGGATCTAGATTCAAATCCTGCTTTGGCTGCTATGTGACCTTGAGCACAGCATTTAAGCGTCTTGGGTCTCAGTTTCATCAACCATAACCTGGAAGCATCAGGGTTAAAACTATGTCAGGTGGTGAGAGTAAGGAGAGCTCTCAGTAAAGGATGCTCTTCCTTAGTTTACAGAAGTGACACCCCAGCTTCCAACGCTTTAAAATAAAATAACGGTTCTCAACTGGGGGCCATCTGGCAATGAGATACTTTTGGTTGTCACAAAGGTGGGGGATCTAGTGGCATCTACAATGCATAGGCAGCTCTTTAGGAGACAGAGTGTCAGCGGTGCTTAACGTGAGGAATTCTGGAGCTTTCTAAAACGGGGGCTTCCGGCTATGCTGTGAGCCACCATGAGGAGCTGTTTTCTGAAAAGTCTGAGGGAAGCGGATGCTGGCACTGGAAAAGGGGTCCTTCCATGGCTACGGACAGGAGCAACGCGAAGCTCCGTGTCACTGTGCTCTCCAAAGGCGGCAGCTGCGAGCCAGCAAATGTGGCCACCGAAACCGAAATGAAACAAGATGTTGAAAATCCTGGGCTGTAACGCCACAACCCAAGTTCTCTCAGCAGCCGCACGCGGGCAGCTAGCGGGCAGCACGGAGACGGAACATTCCTATCGGCGGACCGCGCTGCTCTCAGAGGGCTCGGCAGAACGGGCCTCGGTGGGCAATCCACGGAGAAACACTGGGAAGCGAGACACGCAGAGAGGAGCAGACCCTGAGAGGCAGGACGTAATTTAATGCTAACACGAGTCACAAACACACGCAGTCACTGGTCTGTGCCACCTTCCCTCCCCCAAGAATCACTCTTAAATGCGTAAAACTCAAGAACCCCCAAAAAGGCAAACAGAATCAACAGGAAGCAGGCAGGGACGGACGGGGAGTCCGCTGCTGGGGAGCCCCGGCCCCGCTCAGTTTAACTTGCGGTATATCAGTCCCGGCCCGACATGTGACCATGAGTCGAGGGTACTGATGGAGGAGAGCCTGCGGCGGCTAATCTTGCTTAAGGACTTGGGGTCCATGTACAGGTGGTAGGTGTGCTTGATGACGAAGGGCAGGGAGAAGAAGTGCAGGAGCATGCGGGAGACCTGGAAGACCAGGTGCACGTAGCCCAGCTCCTTGAACCGCTGCTTGAGGAGGCCGTTGAGGAGCAGGACCGTGGAGAAGCTGGTGAGCTCGTAGCAGACGATCCACAAGGCGTAGCACAGCGGCCCCTGGTAGAAGTTCAGGCGGATGCAGTAGAGGAGCATGGCGCTGGCTAAGATGGTGACGCCCGAGAGGCCCATGCTGATGGTCTTCTTGTTGGTCAAGATCCAGTTGGCTACCCCAGACCCGTTCTTGTAGATGTTAAACCTGTCCTCGAAGCCAATGAGCGTGACCTCGTTCAAGTCGAAGATGAGGAACTGAACGGTGTTGAGGATGGAGAAGAGGCCCACCAGAAGGGAGAACAGCTTGTGGTACATTTTGTACTCGTTTTACCAGAGCCTCTCCTGCAGGGAAAAGAAATCACGGAGACACATGACAACACGGCAGAGCCAGCCCCAAACACGCTCCCCGAACCGCTGGGGAAACGTGGTGCTCAGGGCAGTGACGGGATGTGGCCGGGCCATGGCGGGAGGGTGTGGTCCTTGCTCTGACCTACCAGCTGTCGGTGACATCAGCCGGAAAGCGGGCATTGTGGCCTGGCATACTCCCCAGGAAGCCCCCGGCCATGCTCGGTACCTCCCGTCTCTGCCATAACGGTCAGGTCCCTGCTGGCTCCTCTCTGGGATGTTTGCTTCTCTGAGGTCAGAGATGCATGGCTCCTCAAGGGCCCCAGGTCATCCCCAACCCCCCCTCAAACACCTGCCTCTCCTCCCAGCCCTCGGGATGGAACCCCCCTGCTTTGCCCTCTGCGTCGGACCCAGATTTGTTCCAAGGCAGGGTGGAGCCAGCAGTGAGTGGAATGGGGAAGGTTTCAGGGTCTAACTTACTGTCTTCTCAGCCCAGGGTCATAGAGGTGAAGGCCCAGCAGGCGGACCTCCAGCTGCAACTTAGGCTGGACCTGAACTCTAGAGGCCACTCCAGCGTTTGGGAGAAGCTGGGAGCCCCAGCGGACCGCTGAGGGCACATAGATTAGGGGGGACCCGAAGCTGGGGTAGGCTGGCCCAGGGCAACGTCCCCCCCAGCCCCATCACCTTCAGAGAGTTCCAGAGTAAAGTTCCCTCCTCTTCACTCCCAACTGGGGAGCCGCCGCTGAGGGGAGAGGGAAGGGGAACGGTCACACGCGAGGGGCCGCGTGCAGTCCCCGGGCTGAGCGGGCCCGATGGCTTGGCCTCTTACTGAGGCGACCGGAACGGGCCTCCTGCTTGTCCTGTTGAGCAAAGACAGGCCTCCATAGACTTCCCTCCAGCCTTCTCACTCACTCACTCTGTCCATTTCAAATTTTCTTTTCTTTTTTCAGTCAGAAGCCATTTTTTAGTGCGCTGGAATATACATAACAAGCTTTACCATCTCACCCTTTTTGCATGTGCAATTCAGCGGCATTCAGGACATTCACCTGTCGCACAACCATTGCCACCACCCATGTCCAGACCCGTTCATGTTTCCCGAGAAAGACTTTGTCCTCATCAAACACGGACTCCCACTGCCCCTCCCCCTGCCCGTTAACCATCTTTTCACTCTCGTCTCCATGAGTTTACTATGCCAAGTCTCTCACAGCGGACTCACAGTCTTTGTCCTTTGGTGTTTGGCTTATTAATATTTTACTTCGCATAATGTTTTCAAGGTTCATCCCAAATGCGCTCACACTGTGTCCCCATTGCCCTTCCGCTCCGTGACTCCAACGTGGAGTCCAGGATGCACGCACCGCTTGCTGCACCCAGGCCCTGGAGGGTCCCCACGGGGTGGGAGAGACCATGCTCCTCCCTCCCAGCCCATAGCTGCACTGATTCCTCCCTGTCCCCAATAGCTAAACCGCACCCATCCCTGCCCACAGAGCAGCTTCCAGAGCAGCTGCTACCCATGGGGTGCTCTCCTGCACCAACCCAGATAGGGCCCCCACCACACAGGCGCGTTACTGTGGTCTAAGCCTCGGTTGCAGATTTCAAGGCGATGTCCTTATCAGTCCCATTGTCTGCTGCTCTAGCCTTGGTTTTGACCCTGTCACCCCCCTCCTGAGTCACTACTCTAATAACCACCTCACTTCTCCTCTGTCCTGCTGGGCTCCTCAACATTCACTCCTCCAGCAGCTCCGAGCACCTGCTCTGTGCCGGGCACTGAGCTTGGAACTGGAGAATCACAGGTGAACATTCTAGTGAGGAAGCCACACAGAGAAATCTTATAAAATGTTAAAAAGCAAACTTACAAGGCAACCTGGGAAATGCTGGGGAGGAGGCGGCCGGTGTCCTGAGATGTAACAAGATCTAACCCCCGAGTGAGAGCCAGGAGGCTCTTCTGGAGGAGGCAGCCAGTGAGCGTAAGGAACGTGGATAAGAACTGGGCAGAAAGGCAGGAATGCACCCCACAAAGTGGACTACATCCAGGTAGGCCAGAAACAGGAAAAAGTCATTTTGGAAACAGCAGGTTTGGTGTGGCTTGAGCAGAGGGGTTGGCTGCCTGCGTGGACGGAGGACGGAGAAAGGAAGGGGCCTTTCCTGCCACCTGCCCTGTGGAAGCTTCTCTGGAAGGCACTGGGGAGTTCTGGGAGGGTCTTGAGGGGGTGTGTGTATGAGAGACAGGATCTGAATTGCACTTTAGAAAAGTATTTCTTGCTGGGACCATGGGTCAGAAAAGGGGCACGAGTGGAGGCAGGCAGAACAGTTGAGAAGCACGTTAACAGAGGGATGTTGGGGGCAGTGACTGCAGTTGGGGCTGGAGCTGTGGGAAATGGAGTCTGAATGAACACCTGGATGGAGGGTGGGCCCTTCCCTGAGGCAGGGAGCTGGGTGGCAGGAGCGCCTAGGATGCAGGTGGGGGGGATGAGGACAGCTTTGGAAAAGCTGGGTCTGAGTTCCTCAGGGACATCTAAATAGGCACGTCTACTATGAAGTCATCTCTCCCAACTCAGACAGAATCAGAGCATTTGCTGGATATATGATTCTTGGTTAACAATGTGGTTATTTTATTTTGTTAATCCTCATTGGAGGATATTTTTTTCCATTGATTTTTAGGAAGGAAGAGAGAGATGATATAGAGATATAGAGATAGAGATAGAGATAAAGATAGAGATAGAGATAGAGATATAGAGACAGAGATAGAGATAGAGATAGAGATAGAGATGATAGAGATAGAGATGATAGAGAAAGAGATAAAGATAGAGATGATAGAGATAGAGATAGAGATAGAGATAGAGATAGAGACAGAGATAGAGATAGAGATAGAGATGACAGATAGAGATAGAGACAGAGATAGAGATAGAGATAGAGATAGAGATGATAGAGATAGAGATAGAGATAGAGATGACAGAGATAGAGATGATAGAGATAGAGATAGAGACAGAGATAGAGATAGAGATGATAGAGACAGAGACAGAGATAGAGATAGAGATGATAGAGATAGAGACAGAGACAGAGATAGAGATAGAGACAGAGACAGAGACAGAGACAGAGATAGAGATAGAGATAGAGATAGAGATAGAGATAGAGACAGAGATAGAGACAGAGATAGAGATAGATTGGTTTCTTCCCTTAGGTGCCCTGACCAGGGCTAGGGATCCTGCAATCCAGTACACGCCCTTGACAGGGAATCAAACTTGTGACCCTTTGGTGCATGGGCTGATACTCTTAACTATTGAGCAATACCAGCCAGGGCAATAATGGGTTTTTAATATATATTTTGAGTTTTATTTACTGATTTGAGAGAGAGAGAGAGAGAGAGAGAGAGAGATCAATTTATTGTTCCACTTATTTATGCATTCATTGGTTTATTCTTGTTTGTGCTCTGACTGGGTATCAAAACTACAACCTTGGCTATCAGAATGGTGTTCAGCATTCTAGCCAAATGAGCCACCTGGCCAGAGCTGAAACACTTTAAATAGGTTATCCTATCATCTGGCTTCCATTGTTTTTGCTGAGAAATCAGCTGTCAATCTTTTTGGGATTCCCTCATAAGTGACCAGTCATTTTTCTCTTGCTGCTTTCAACATTCATTTTTCTTCCTCTTTGACTTGAGCACCTTTATTATGCAGGATTGTTTGTGGAGCCTTTGCATCTATCCTAATTGGAGTTTGTTGAGCTTACTGGGTATAGGTTAGACTTTTTCAATAAATTTGGGAAGTTTTAAGCCATTATTTCTTTAAATTTTTTTTCCTGTTCCTTTCTTCTCCTTTCAATACTAACATTATGCATATTTTGGTTGGGATGCTTAATAATGTCCCACATTCCTCTGAGGCTCTGCTTATTTTGCTTCATCTTTATTCTCTGTTCTTTAGATTGTGTAATCTCTATCATCTACCTTCAACTTTACTAATTCTTTCTTCTGCCAGTTTAAATCTACTGTTGAGCTTCTCTAGTGCATTCTTCACTTCAGTTATTCTACTTTTCAACTAAAGAATTTCCACTTGGCTCTTTTTATAGAATTTGCACCCCTTGATATCCTCTACTTGATGTGGCATTGCCATTACATTTTTTCTTGACTTTTTAAAAATCATGGTTTCCTTTCATTCCTTACTTTTATATTTTTAAACTATATTTTTATTGAATAAAGAGAGATAGAAACATCAATGATGAAAGAGGATCATTAATTGGCTGCCTCCTGCATGCTCCCCACTGGGGACTGAGCCCACAACCCGGGATGTGCCCTGACCGGTAATCAAACTGTAATCTCTTGTTTTGATAAGTTGACGCTCACCCAATGGCTGGTCTCCTTTAGTTCTTTAAACATATTTGTAATGGCAATTTTATTTTATTATTATTATTTTTTAATCCTCACCTGAGGATATTTTTCCATTACTTTCCAGAGAGAGTGGAAGGGAAGAGAAAGAGAGAAAGAGAGAGAGAGAGAAGAGAGAGAGAGAGAGAGAGAGAGAGAGAGAGAGAGAGAGAGAGAGAGAGGAAACACTGTGAAGAGAGACATATTGATTGGTTTTGTACCAACTGGGGTTAGGAAACTTGCAACCAAGGTATATTCCCTTAACCAGGAATCCAATCCACCACCCTTTTGTCCATGGGCTGAGGAGTGAGCCAAACTGGCCAGGGATGTAATGGCTATTTTATTGTGAATTTTTGACATTTTAGTTATGCAATTATTTTAAAACCTTTATTGTTGAGAATATTACAGATGCCCCCCTTCTCTGCCCTCTCACTCCCCCAGTTCCTGCTCCACTCCAAGCATTTACCACCTTATTGTCTGTGTCCATAGATAATGCATATAAGTTCTTTGGTTTATCCCTTCCCTCTGAGATTTGTCAGTCTGTTCCATGTTT